AAGTTTTGAGGTGAAAGTTTTAAAAGTAAATATTGGTTGGTCTCCATGGTAACAAAGAACAAACCAAAAAACCCACAACGTTAAAATGTCAACAAGCAAGACTGTCAAATGAATTTTGATTTCACATTTTTACACACCTGGTTCAAACATTTTTAATACTGTACGAATATTAGAACAGAAAGGGCATGGCTCATAAAATATAAAAGTACCTGGGGACCGAGCTTTGCTCGGGGGAAATTATTAGTTTACTCTGAAAAGTATTGCAGATACATTAATCCACTCCCCATCTCCAAACTGCTAACGTTCACTACTTACTTCACCACTCCCTACGTCGTGGACCTGTTTGCCCTCCTTCCATATACCATTTTAGAATTGCAGATACATAAATGCCACAGACAGTTCCCACACTCTGCACTGCTAGCATTACTACTTCCTACACCATTTCCTACGTCATGGACATGTTTTACTCCCTTCTCGTAGCATTTTAGGATTGTAGATACCTTAATGTAATTCCCATAAACAGTTCCCAGACTCCAGACTGCTCACCTTTACTACTTCCTTCACCACTTCCTACGTCGCGGACCTGTTTCTCTCCCTTCCAATGGCATTTTAGGATTGCAGATACCCTAATCTAATCGTCATTAACAGTTCCAAAACTCCGGGCTGCTTGCCTTTACTACTTCCTTCACCTCTTCCTACGTCGCAGACCTGTTTCCCTCCATTCCCATAGCATTTTAGGATTGTAGATACCTTAATCTAATCGTCATAAACATTTCCCACACTCCGGACTGCTCACCTTTACTACTTCCTTCACCACTTCTTACGTCGCGGACCTGATTCCCTCCCTTCCCATAGCATTTTAGGATTGTAGATAACTTGATCTAATCGTTATTAACAGTTCCCACACTCCGGACTGCTCACCTTTACTACTTCCTTCACCACTTCCTACGTCGTGAACCAGTTTTCCTCCCTTCCCATAGCATTTTAGCATTGCAGATTCCTTAATCTAATCGTCATAAACAGTTTTCACACTCCAGACTGCTCGCCTTTACTACTTCCTTCATCACTTCCTACGTCGTGGACCTGTTTGCCCTCCTTCACTATACCATTTTAGAATTGCAGATACATAAATGCCACAGACAGTTCCCACACTCTGCACTGCTAGCATTACTACTTCCTACACAATTTCCTACGTCATGGACCTGTTTTCCTCCCTTCTTGTAGCATTTTAGGATTGTAGATACCTTAATGTAATTCCCATAAACAGTTCCCAGACTCCAGACTGCTCACCTTTACTACTTCCTTCATCACTTCCTACGACGCGGACCTGTTTCCCTCCATTCCCATAGCACTTTAGGATTGCAGATTCCTTAATCTAATCGTCATAAACAGTTTTCACACTCCATACTGCTCGCCTTTACTACTTCCTTCATCACTTCCTACGTCGCGGACCTGTTTCCCTCCATTCCCATAGCACTTTAGGATTGCAGATTCCTTAATCTAATGGTCATAAACAGTTTTCACACTCCAGACTGCTCGCCTTTACTACTTCCTTTACCACTTCCTACGTCGCGGACCTCTTTCCATCCCTTCCCATAGGATTTTAGGATTACAGATTCCTTAATCTAATCGTCATAAACAGTTTCCACAATCCAGACTGCTCGCCTTTACTACTTAAGTCACCACTTCCTACGTCGCGGACCTGATTCCCTCCCTTCCCATAGCATTTTAGGATTGTAGATAACTTCATCTAATCGTTATTAACAATTCCCACACTCCGGACTGCTCACCCTTACTTCTTCCTTCACCACTCCCTATGTCATAGACCTGTTTGCCCTCCTTTTTTATACTATTTTAGAATTGCAGATACATAAATGCCACAGACGGTCCCCACACTCTGCACTGCTAGCCTTACAACTTCCTTTCCCATTTCCTACGTCATGGACCTGTTTTCCTCCCTACCATTACATTTTAGGATTGCAGATACCTTAATTTAATCGTCATAAGCAGTTCCCACACTCCAGTCCAGACTGCTCGCCTTTACTACTTCCTTCACCACTTCCTATGTCGTGGACCTGTTTTCCTCCCTTTCCATAGCATTTAAGGATTGCAGATACCGTAATCTAATCGTCATAAACAGATCCCACACTCCACACTGCTACCCTTGACTATAGAATCTAGTAATCTTCAGTATAATCTTTGCTCAATAGTAACAACTGATGTTTTTCCTTTTGTACTGTATTTTGTTTTGCTAGTGTACTGTGGATAGACAAATTACAAGTCTTTTGTTTACTTTTTTCTTGTTATTTAATTCAGCCAACATGGTTACCTAGCAACCCATAAGACTAATGTTAAAAAAATTTGATTTTTAGTTTCATTTTTCTACGTATTTAGATTTTTGTTGGCAGTTCTAACTGCAGTAAACTCGTTTTTAGGTCAGAAATAAACTATTTACAACATTTGAAGAAAATCGTCGGAGCCGTTTTCGAGATCTTGGTACAAGCAAGCATACATACATACAAACATTGCTCGTATTAGAGTATAGGATAATGATGTCACTCGCCCGAATGTAAACATTATTTAACACTACTTAAATGAGGCTGTAAAACCATATGGTGATGCCATTTCATTGGTATAGGATTCTTTCGGTTACTTCATTTGTTTATGTTTATGATCCATACTGAGGCTGTTCTAATATTTGTGAAATGCTGTAATAATATTTTACAGGGAATGATTCATAGTAAAATAAATTATTCATGGATATAATAATTAAGATTCTATAATCATTGCCGTATCAACTTAGGCTCTTATTCTGAGTTTTATGAGAATTATTTTTTAGATATATTGTTGTGTAAAAAGTAATATAAAACCCCTGCCACAACAAACCTGCAGACTATGCGAATTTCCATTTCAATGATTAAAATTTCACTAAAATGTGTTAGAAAATTTAACTACAGACAGGTTTGGAACTATTGTGATAGCATTTCATTTACAATACAAACAATTCAATATGTATTATTTGATTGTACCTTGTATAATTTGATTTGATTATACCTTGAAATCTATCATTGTTTTTGTAGGCCTATACTATGTAGCCTAAATAAGTGTTCACAGTCTGAGTGGACAAAAACATATATTATCAAGTTATGTAACACAGTTAAATTTCGTTTCTAAAAATCCATTTTAAGGTATTTTCAAAGAACTAACATCGTCTCTTTTGCATACTGACCCCGTTGCAGGGCAAGGGTATAGCTGCTAGTTCTAATAAATCAATTCCAAACATATCCAATTCCAAACCACCTACACTACAAATGTTAATATGTATTCACCTGACAAAACGCATAGAAAACATATTTATTTTAACCTACAAAAATTTAGTTTTTTTTTACCTACTACATCTGTGGACAGAAGTGAAAAATGAAATGGCAGAGTGGACGAGCCATTGAGAGGTTGAGGGTGAATGGTGGATTACGCGGGTCTAACATTTCCCACGACGACCAGACATCTATCTATCTTGTATTCAGGGATTACATTAGTGGGATCACTGACGTTGCCGTAGCCGGGGCAAGTCACTTCATTCATATCATTGTAAAAACCGCCATCATCACTTAGTAAAAGTCAAGTGTATTGTAGCTTCCCTAAAAACGTTTGGAAAAGCATTGAAAATAAATAAATACATCTCGTGTGGCTTTTACTGGTGTGAGATCTTCGACAAAGAGAAAGTTCTCCTCAGTGAATGGTATATTTGAATATGTTATATAGATATGTCTGTACGTAGATCTACAGATTAAAGAGGGCTTTTAATCACCCGCACACATTATATTATCACTTAGCCAAATCCATTGGTGAAATGCGGTAATTGAACACGCATCACCCCTATGATAGACTCTGATATAAGATATAACAATGTACAATAAACCGTTATTCAAAATATTAAATTGCTCATTTTATTGAAATAAAAAAAAATAAATATATTATTTAGGTTCGAGATATTTTAATATTTCAGGGCAAATACAGGAGATGCGTATTATATTATTGTTCACAGATTTTCCTAGAAACAGGGAAAAGTTTGGTTGATGAGTATTTACCCGTTGTTGCGTGATGCGGCTACAAAGTTTATATGAAGCTGGACCTCAGTAAGCTCTGATACACGATTTGTTCTCCTAAATTGGGCAAAAGGTATTTATATAAATAAGTTTAAAAGCTTCCAACACAACTATTTTTTACCTATTCAGTGTCAAAGAGCATACGAGTGTCTAAACAAATTAGACTACAGAGTTTTGAAAGCACAAGTGCTAGTAATTTTACGAAGAATATGAACCTAATACAGCTAATACTCACTTATAAACTCTTCCTAAAAATCATAATAATTTATCATGACAAATCGAGTAATGAAATCTTCTAAATTCAGGTAAAAAGTAAAAAGGGCTGTCACAAAAGCGAAATACAAGGTTGGGTAATCTGTCAGACACTATAGATCAGCGAATAAACTTGCTTTGAAAAGGTTTGCCAACCTCTAATACCCGGAATATTAAACTTGAAAATGAATACCTCTATACTGGGAAAGGAAAGTTTAAACAAAAACATAATAGCCCATGAATTGGTATTATTCTATGTTTTGGATAAAAATCACGGTTTTGGTAAGGAATGCACAAACATTCAATAAAATTAGTACAAATATATAGAGCAAATTTTATAGCTTCCTACTAACTTAAGGATTTAGATTTGTATTATTTGTTGGCAAGTATGTCAACATTTAGACTACTAGATCCAAGCGGATATTAATATTGAACTGAACAGCGAAGAAATAAGTAAACTGTTCATGAACAGTAATACTAAAAGAACAACGATGGAATATGGAATATACGTTATGCCTACCGAACATCATGGCTTCCTCTGATATGGGGCAGAGTTTAGCGATTTCTGGGATTTTTCCAACAAAGGAAATAAATTTTAACTAAAAGTATATCCAAACTATAAAAGTCACATAAAATGCTTACTTGAAGGATTGATTGATAGGATAAGTAGCCCTCTTAAATGAAATATCCTTAATTCAGTTTCTTGACTTCTCTTCTCCACATGAACTTCTTTGGTAGTGACCTGTAACAATTTCAATCTAGTATAAGAAATCGCAAGCGTTTATGATGTAAAATAAACATCGTTTAGATAATTGTAATAAGGTATAGAAAAATCAAATGAAATATTCTAGCTTGGTAACGAGTTCATTACATTGTATAGTGATAATAATAATTGCATACGTTTGCTGACTCCAGATGAGTAAACACGTGGTTGCAAACAAGAGAACCAATCTCTTAAAGTAACAGTAACAGTAAAGAAATTGTATTTGCACACAACATTCTACATACGTTTCAAATATTCCATTGCAAAGCTATTATAAAGTTAACCTACCGTTTTTACACAATTCGTTTTTACACAATTAGTTTTTTCTCATAACAAAAATCAATTAGTCTTTACTTGAAGTGAAACTAACGTGGCAATCACACAAATATAGCGTCAAGAACATAAGAAACGACGATTCAAAATAAATTTACATAGGTGGTTAAATATATGTTGCTATTTTATCAAGAAGTCAAAAGATAACTAAGTTTGTTACAAAATAATTATTAGCCTAAAAGGAGACTAACAATAGTAGAATACAGGGTGATTTGAAGTTGGTGTGACAAAATTTTTTCTGGTAAATTATGTAACAAGTAGAGTTTAAATCCACAGTTTTTATTGTTTTATCCCTCGTGGTCTCTTACCTATGCATTTTTTAAAAATTTTCTGAAAAAACTGTATTAACAATAGAAAAACTTACATTTCTCCACTTTCCTCTCATCTGATGATAATTATAATGGTATTTTCTGAAAGCTCATCAAATTTACATTTAGTCAAGTCAGTTTTGTGTCGTTAGTAACAGTTTTGTAGCGAAAGTGGTGTTGTAAATACAAGAAATATGTTTTTCAAGAAAAAAACTAAATTTTTAAATAAATAACATGTATGTTATTTTTTTGTGAAAAAAGTGTCAAATACGTTAAAAAACTTGTCCTTTTCCTGAGCTTTAATTTTATATAAGCATATTGTATTTTCCTTCGGAAAATTACTGTGAAAATTATACTACAAGTGCAAAAAACATGGGTTAATATCAATACTCATAAGCTAGTTTTTAAACTTTATTTCCCGTAAAGTTACACAATGAAAACCTTGAAAATCACACAATAATACAACACTCGATTGCAAAAAAAAACCCAAAAAACTATTTAATATCATGTTCAAAGTGCCTGCCTCCTTTTCTAATGCAAGCCCTCGCACGCTTTCTCATGGCTCCAACCGTTACGTTAAAACTTAATTTTTCTCGAACAACTTGAGCAGCTGCTTCAACTCGATCTGTCAACTCCTCCACTGAGTTCACAGGGGTCGAATAAACAATGTCTTTCATTGTGCCCCACACAAAGAAGTCCAAAGGAGTGAGATCGGGAGACCTCGCCGGCCAAGGCACAGGTCCTCCGCGTCCTATCCACGTAGGATAGTTCAGTGTCAACCAGTTCCGTACATCTTTGGAGAAGTGGGGAGGGGCTCCATCCTGCTGGAAAATGACATTGTCTATTTGGCGTTGGGTGAGGTTTAAGACCATCAAGAAGATCGGGTAGGCTATGTTGAAGGAAGTCCAGATAAGCTTCACCACTTAGGTTTTCTGGGAAAATGTGAGGTCCTACAAGCTGATTACCAATTACTCCAATCCAAACATTAAGATGGAACCTCGTTTGGTAAGAACCCTCCCGCATCACTTTGGGATTTTCTTTAGCCCAATGGTGATTGTTATGAATGTTAAAAACACCATCTCTCGTGAACCTCGATTCATCTGTGTACAGGATGTTTTTTAAGAACTGAGGCTGTTCAATGTCAGCATTTAATAGCCAACGACAAAATTGAACTCTTGGAGCATAATCTTGAGGTTCCAGACCTTGAACTTCGATGAAATGGTACGGATGAAATTGATTTTTATGTAATATGCTAAGAACTTTGCATTGAGAAACTCCTACATCATTGGCCACTTGTCGAGAGCTAATTTTAGGATTTTCTTCGACCATATTTAGAACTTATTCCTCCGTTTCCACATTATGACGTACAGGACCTACCTCATTCGGCTGTTTGAAGACTGTACCTCGTTCTAAAAGACGCAGATGCAATCTTGAGAATACTTGAGGACTAGGCACTCGTCTGTCAGGGTACCGGGCACGGTATTCTCGTTGCGCAGCTCGAGCATTTCCATTACAAAAACCGTACACAAAATGCATTTCAGCATACTCACGCGATGTGAACTCCATGATTGAACTGCAATAATAAACTTCTTATCCTTAATAACTGGGCCGCATAAGGTACGAGAATTGTGTTTTCTATTAGATAAGGTGTACTATCCTTTGTGATAACGATTGAGGTATTTTTTTTATCTATAAGTTTGATTATCTTATCTTTTATGGGTTACACTGAAAGGCACACTGTCCAATGGTGTAACTTAAGTACCAATTCACTTTTATTTCTTTTATTTAGTGAAAAAAATTTAAATTTAAAATGTAGGAGGCATTGGAAGGATTTTCTTATCAAACATAATTTAGTCTCTTTACGTCCCACTAGTTTTTTAATCCATGTTTTTTGCACTTGCAGTATAATTTTCACAGTAATTTTCCGAAGGAAAATACAATATGCTTATATAAAATTAAAGCTCAGGAAAAGGACAAGTTTTTTAACGTATTTGACACTTTTTTCACAAAAAAATAACATACATGTTATTTATTTAAAAATTTAGTTTTTTTCTTGAAAAACATATTTCTTGTATTTACAACACCACTTTCGCTACAAAACTGTTACTAACGACACAAAACTGACTTGACTAAATGTAAATTTGATGAGCTTTCAGAAAATACCATTATAATTATCATCAGATGAGAGGAAAGTGGAGAAATGTAAGTTTTTCTATTGTTAATACAGTTTTTTCAGAAAATTTTTAAAAAATGCATAGGTAAGAGACCACGAGGGATAAAACAATAAAAACTGTGGATTTAAACTCTACTTGTTACATAATTTACCAGAAAAAATTTTGTCACACCAACTTCAAATCACCCTGTATATATGATTTCATGGTTAGCTAATTTATACACTATTACTTGATTTAAATAAAATAATATGGACTATTCAGTTCCAACGATTTATCTAACATTTTTACGCTTTTAATTTTTTGAATATAGTTTGTTTTTCTTGTATTGCGTTTATTACAATTTTATCTTGACGCGATGCATCTAAAATGATAACATACAGTACTTACGTTTTGTTTTATAGCCTTATGTCTAGCTAAGTGAGGGGTCCAACTCAAAGGTTTTAATACAGTACAAATAGGAGCAGTATTTGCACTTAACAGCAATACCTATACAAAGAGACAGCCGCTTTAACTTTGCACTTTGAAATCATTGTCAGAATGTCATAACATTGTGTTACCAATGCTATAATTAAGGAGTACTGCTAGGTAGCTTTTGTAAGGCAACAAAGGTTTTGTAACACTACTGTTAAAAAAATATGTTTAATCGTTTAACCAATTTTAACAACATTCGTCGTAATTCATCACTCCCATAAGCATAACGCAGTTATTATCCAGGTTATGCTCTTTCGAGCAAAGATTCAAAACTGAATTAAATTGCCAGGAAATAAAAAGATTTTGTAAGTCTATGAATAATGAGAACTACTGGACGAATAAAGTAAAGAAAACAAACGACGAAATTTGATATGAAAGAAGAGTATTTTGTCCAGCTGGTAGCAGATGGTCACTTAGAGTTTTTGTCACATGCAAAGTGAAGATGTTTGAAAACGGCCAATGGGAAGATGAGATATATTTGAGGGAATTTACTTAGCTAAATTGATGTGGTTCAATGTTTTGAATGATGTTCGAAATTATAGTGGTTGGGTTCATAGGACTAGTATGCATTTAAATGCACGTAAACAAACACTATGTGAAAGTAATATATGATTAATATTACCAGATAAATATCAATCTGGAGATAACAAGCTAAATAAGGAAAAGGAAATCTGAATCTCATGAAATCAATGCTATTAGTTAGACATAAAGTTATCCGATATTATTACAAAACCCTCCAAGATCGATATACTTTGGATTTTTTACTTTCCCCTTAGCAACAATGTTACCTCCAGTTCTGACTCTACCTACCTTTATTTTATAAACGTGAAGAGCGATCATTACGCTTTGACGATTTCTTATTTGAATAGTTACATTATTTTTACACGTTTAGCCGAGTGGTCACTTACAAAAATCTGGTGGTTAATGGGGTTGGTCGTGAGAAGCCAAGTTTATTTACCCTATCGCCATTTATCAGGCTATTAACGATTTTTATTTTCTAAAAGGTCAACATTGGGTGGGAAAAAGACCAACATTTTTATTTTCCTACAGTAACATAACAATGTGCATGTTCTCTCACTGATAGTGTCTGCATGTTACGCGCTCACTATTTCGTTCCTTCACGTTGCAAAGCTGGAGTGAGTGAGACAAAGTAATTAGAGTGAGACAATGTTAACATTGTCTCACTGATGAGCGAATTGGCCACTTTGCTTTCTCAAATCAGTGAGAGAACAAGTACATTGTTAGGTAACTGTAGGAAAACTAAAATAACTATTGGAAATATAATGCACAAAGCTACAAATTGTAATTCTATGTATGACCCAGCTTCACACACGAGTTTTGAGTACTTTCTTACAAAACCAGAGTTCAGCTGTGAAGCAGCTACAGTACTCATATTTCAAACCAATGAGGATTCCAATGAATTGAATTATACTTTCTGGCGTCAATTAGAAGTTACAACCGGATGGTACATAGTAAAAAATAATTTTTGAGAACGATTATTAATGGATTATTAAGTAATAAGTAGTTACAATGCAAAATATTTCTCTATGTTTTGTGTTTGTAGTCTCCCAAAATTATACAACCGGTGTTAAGCTAGTACTGTATAAACGTGTAATTAAATTTTTTATAATAACGTACTAAACATATTATATAAAACATCAAAACAGTTAACCCCTCGAATGTAACTGGATTG